CCAGCTTTCACAAACCTCTAGAGAAGAGTTTCTCGCGAATCTGTCTCGACTGTAAAAATGATGAAGGCGATGAAGTTGCAGCTGCTGATGACGTCTTGGCAGCAGCGTTCAGTGACGATTCACCACCGCTACTAACATCGCCATCATCACTATTACCATCATCAACAGTCTTATTATTATTATTATTGTTATCATTATTTTTTTTATGATTACTAGGATTAATATAATTATTCCCTGGAATTTTATTCCCAATACTTTTAACACTGTTATTATAACTAATGCCATTTTTATTATTATTATTATTATTATTATTATTATTACAATTGTTATTATTATTATTATTATTATTATTAAGCAATATGGCGGCATTTCTGTACTTAGGTTTGGCTTTGATGATGGGCTTAGACTGCAAGTTATGGAGGCTAAGTTTCAAGGACGGCCCTACGTGAATAAATTAACATAATTAAATAATTAATATTCATAATAATTAATGAGTGATAGTAATAATAATAGATTTTAATACTAATAAAAACAATAATAATAATAATGTATACATATATATGTGTGTGTGTGTGTGGTAATGTTGGGTGAGGGACCTATTTGCATTTGAAACCTGTCACTGTGACACAAAAGAACAGGCATTTAGCCCATTACTCTACCTCGCTGCTTTATAATGTATTAAAAACAAATAAATAGCCCACATAACATAGGTAAATAGCGAATAGAGATTTTGCTTTGCGAACTGTTGAACAAACAAAAATGTGTGTGTGTTTGTGTGAGTGTGTGTGTTTGTGTGAGTGTGTTTGTGAGTTTGTGTTTGTGTGTGTCTATTCATAAATATTCATTGCAGTATGTAAATAGTTGTTGACTTTTGATAAAGAGAACAATAATATAGCTCTATGCATATGTAATGAGCACGTGATTTTTATATGATTTTGAAACGCCATTGAATGAATGAATGAACGAACGAATGAATGAATGAATGGATGAATAATTGATAGAATGAATGAATAATTGATAGAATGAATAAATGAACGAACGAATGAATGAATGAATTAATTAATTAATGAATTAATGAATGAATTAATGAAATAATAAATTAGTGAGTTAATAAATGAGTGAACAAATGGATGAACATAAGAATGAACAATAGATGATAATGATGCTGATAAAGATGAAGATACCGACAAAGATACTGATGCTGATAAAGATGAAGATACCGACAAAGATACTGATGATGATAACGATGATACTGACAAAGATACTGATGATGATAACGATGAAGATACTGACAAAGATACTGATGATGATAGCGATGATAGCGACAATGATACATTTCATAGATCGGACTAACTTGATCCGAAATTCTCTACATCCTCTGTTGTAAATGAGTTTCTATAGGCTGATGGCATCTTGCAACCTTAATGAAGCACAACAAAAACAACAACAATAATAATAAAAACAATAATAATAATGATAATAATAATAATAATGAAAACATCCTTTCATTTTCTAACTCCAAATACCAAATATCAATAACGAAATAATTATAAAATCCTATTAATCTAAAATGTTCAGTCACAGCGAGTGAGTACATTCTAGAGGGGCTGGTTCAATAATAATAATAATAATAATAATAATAATAATAATAATAATAATAATAATAATAATAATAATATTTATAATAATAATATTTATAGTAATATAAATAAGATTGTATGGAAAAAACGAATTTGGTGTTTCCCATATGGATCAGTAGGTAAGCCTTGCAAACTGAATACAACCACAAGTGGTGTTTTTTTTTTTTTTTTGTAAATCTAGTTTTTCTTAAAAGATAGTGCTGATAGAAGTGCTCAAATGTCAATATCATTCGATCTTCGTTTATAGGCTGGCCTTTATCCGTGAGGGGTTTGACTTTTTTTTTTATTCCAGCCATTAGATTCTGTCTGTGCCCAAGTCGATCGATCCATCGCATCCACTTACTATTTGAGAAAAGTGGCTTCGAATCTTTCGGAATGGTCTGCGTCCAGGATTTCTTTGAATTTCAAAATGATTGATGATGGCGGTTATTTCTATGAGGGTTACTAAGAGTACGGTCAAACCAAAAGCCTGAGACGTGATAAACAAGAATATTTTCATTACTCAAAAAACACTCCTTGTTATTACGTTGAAAAAGAAAAACTCCGACCGCTGAGTGCAATTAAAAACTACATTCAACTTTATAATGGATAATTATTGATCATATTTGTAATAATAAATGAGAAAAATTTTCAACAAACTCGATCCAAAAATGTCGGCATCTTCAGTTGTGAAAGAATTTCTGTATGTAGAAGATGGTAGCAATTTCTTTCTAATCGTCGTCCCAGATGATGTCGTTGTTGTTGTCGTTGTTGATAATGATGTTGTTGATGATGTTGTTGCTGTTGAAGATGATGACGATGATGTAGTTGTTGCTGCTACTGCTGTTGCTGATGACGATGATGACGGCTGATTTAGAAATTCTTTACAGAAATTTATTTTGCCATGCGCGTCTCGCTTCGGCGGGACTAAATTTGGAATGGCTTTTTCCTGTGTCGAAGATGATGACGTAGTTGTTGATGACGTAGATGGAATCGAAGAAGCAGAAATCTTCAGCTGGAGTTTTGGCTTAACTGGGCAAGGTGGCTTTGTGGATGACAAGATACAAGAAGGTGAAGATGACAACGATGATTTTGAGGATGATAGTGATGTCGTTGCTGCTGTTGCTGCTGCTGTTGTAGCTGCTGTTGTAGCTGCTGAAGAAGTTAATTTTTTGACGGTATTCCGTTTATTATTATTATTGTTGTTGTTGTCATTATTATTAGTATTATTATCCGAATTATTGCATAACTTAGGTTCAAACAATTTCTTCTTGTCATTCACTGTGGCCTTTGTTGTTGTTTCGATGTCATATGACTTTGTTGTTGTTGCCGTCGTTGCTGATGGGGGGTGATGTTGGACGGCGTCGAGGGCCGACCTTACGGGGATGGGTATCTTTTTTAGGTTTTTTGGCAACTCCACCCCCGGTTTATAATTCAGGTTCATGGCTTGGTCTTCGGATAAATCGGTGGGTGAATTTATTAGGTAGTTGTTTTTGTTGTTGTCGTTTAAAAAGTCACAATTGTCATCATCTTCTTCACTGTTGTTGTTGTGGTTGTTGCGGTTGTTGCAGTCGTCGTTGTGGTCATTAGTCGTACCCTGTTTTGAGAATACATAAATTCATTCCCCATTAAATATGCATGCATACACTATTATTATAACTTTCTGAAACACGCAAATTATTTTGTATTTTTGTTTCGCGTTTCTTACTAAAAATAGACTGAACAACAAATAATAATAATAATCACAACAACAACAACAATAATAATAATAATATTATTATTATTATTATATTTTTGAAAAAAAAATAATAAAAAAAAATAAAACCTGAAAGTGAAAATTTGGAAAAAAGATAATCTCTAATCCACTTCAATGAAACTTTTATTCAACCCTTAATAAAACAACTACATCAAGCTTACTTACTTGCTAGATCACCCCTTATATATATATATATATATATATATATATATATATTTATTTATTATACGCGTTCACCCCTTATATATATATATATATATTATACGCGCATACAAATAGGATTAATACGTATATGAATGGACCTGTAAATATCAGCTTAATTGTTGTATGACGAAGCAGCGTAATATTGCATGCAAACAAACACACACACACACAAACGTGTGTGTGTGTGTGTTTGTTTGAGTGTGTGTTTGAGTGTGTGTTTGAGTGTGTGTTTGAGTGTGTGTTTGTTTGAGTGTGTTTGTTTGTTGTGTGTGTCTGCGTGCGAGCGCGTGTGTATGTGTGTGTGTGTGCGTGTGTGTGTGTGTGTGTGTGTGTGTGTATGACAACAGAAAATAATAAAATTGAAAATTATTCAAGGATTCGAATGTATTCTGAGAATGATAGAATGATGTTTGAAGTTGATAAAGAAAGCATAAAGTGGGGTGCAAAAATGAGAGAAAGAGAGAGAGAGAGAGAGAGAGAAGGTAGAAAAAGAAAGAAGGAAGAATAATTAATCAGTAATCTAGTCAGTAAATTTAATTACAGCAAAAAGCAAATAAGCAAAAAAAAAGAGGGTTTACCTCAAATAACAGACAGGAAAAATACAGCAATGAAAAGGGAAGTTATAGAGAGAAAAAAAGAGAGAGAGAGAAAGAGAGAGAGAGAGAGAGAGAGAGAGAGAGGCCGTAACAGAGAGAAAGAGAGAGACAAAGGATAGTCAGTAAAGATAAATAAAAGAGAAAAAAATAACCAATTATTCAAAATTATTTAACAATTAATAAACAACTAACTCAAAGCCAAGACTTATCATATAATATTTTCTTCCCACAAAACATTGCAAAATAACTTAAGAAATTAATAATAAACAATTTCTAATACTCCATACTATTTCAAGTAATTGTGTGTGTGTGTGTGTCTGCGTGGTTGTATGTGTGTGTGTGTGTGTATGTACATGTGTGCGTGTGGTGTGTGCGTGTGTGTATCATTAACTCATTAACTTATTATCAAAAATATTATAGTTAATGACAGTGCAAAATTCACACATCAACAAAACGTTTAATTACTAATTTGACACAATCGTGCTCACGTGTGCGTGTGTGTGTGCGTGTGTGTGTGTGTGTGTGAGGTGCGTGTAAAAAAAGTGAAAAAATAAAAAATCACATTACAAACAAACTCCAGATCACAAAGAAGTGACTAATCAACAAGTTCACAAAAATCACATGACTAAATTGCCAACAATGTGATTGGCTGAATAATTTTTGCATTTACAATAATAGTAAATAATAATAATAACAACAACAATAATAATTATAATAACTATTATTATTATTATCATTAACATAATTATTATCACTACTATCATCGTCATCATCATCACCATCATCGACATCATCATCATCATCATTATCATCATCATCAGGAATAAAAAAGATAATGATTAGCGTTTGCAGGTTAGAGTTCTGGGAAACAGATTTAATTTATGTTAAAAACAATGAATCAATGAACGAACGGACGAACGGAAGTACGAACGAATGAACAATCAAGCGAGCATACAAACAGACAGACAAATTAACAACAGATAGATGGATGGATAGAGTAAATGAAGCAAACAAAGGCAAGTGACTATATAAATTAATGAATTAAACAAAACAGAGAAGGAGGAAAAGAGTTGCAGAGAAAATGGCCAGAAAAAACAAATGCGGATTTAGCAAAGGAGTGTTCAACACGAGTTAAGAAGTGAGAACGAGAAGACGATCCTAAACCGGCTGACGCGTATAGATTCAATTAATACATCTGATAAGTACTTTAGGAAAGAATTTAGTTTGAGAGAATACGTTAAGTGCGAATTTTAGATAGAAAATTGAATTAAAAATAAACAAATACAAGTTACACTTTTAGATGAAATGGAATATAATATTTAAATCAGATCAAACAAACAAGTGAACGAATGAATGGATAAATGAACAAATGAATGAATGAAGGAATGAATGAATAAATGAATAACTAAGCAAATAGATGAATGAATGAATGAACGAACGAACGAACGAACGGACGAACCAATGAATAGCTGGATAAATGAACGACAATAAATAAACTAAAGATAGATCAAAATGAAATAGTTTCAATTAAGAAGGAATCAATCTTTTGACAAATAAAAAAAATCACAAGTAAACGAATGAATGAATGAACGAATGAATGAATGAATGAATGATGAATGAATGAAAAAAGAAGTAAAATTGTCAGAAAGTACATAATTATAGTTATATGGTTTTATAAAGGAAGCAGCATAAGCTATGCCATTATTTATCTAAACTTTGACTTATATACAAAATCCTTTCTGAATGAGCGAGTGAATGAATGAATGAAATAAAAATAAATGAATGAATGAATGAATGAATAAATGAATAAATGAATAAATGAATAAATGAATAAATGAATAAATGAATAAATGAATAAATAAATAAATAAATAAATAAATGAATGAACGAACGAATGAATAAACGAACGAATGAATGAAGGAAACAAATTAAAAAAAACCCTCACCAGACAAAATGTCAGCAATTAGTCAATATAATTAGATATCCTACTACATAAATATACAAACACACAATTGCGTAAATACATCAATACATAAACATACAAACACACAAACACATAAATTTACAAACATATAAATATACAAATACACAAACACACAGATATACAAATACCTTGCCATTAACATCAGTATTGGAACCAGTGAAACATCCATTAGCATAGCACGGTGGATAGATAGTAGAGCGATCAGATTTTGAATAAATCACACAATTTTTCGAATGATTAACTTCGGTGTCTTTGGTTTTCTGTCGGAATGTTACCCTAGATAAATCAAGACTGCCATTTTCATAAACATTATCTTGTGTATTTTCTTTATCATCACTAAGGTTACCGTTAACTGAGTCACTTTTATTGTTGCCATTTAATTTTTTACAATCACCATAGATGGGAGATTCATCTAAAGAGACAGAACGATTATTGTTTTGTTGTTGTTGTTGTCTTTGGCTTTGGGGGCAATCAGGTTCTTTGGTGGGTAGCCTGTTTGCTTTTTTGGTGGAAAACCTTGAAAGGCCGCAGCAAAAGGGTAAAGTCTTTTGAGAGCCCTCCTCCGAATCGTTCCAGTGGTCGCAATTGTGTACAGGGGAGTATGATGTTATGTTTTCCTGATCATCCGTGTGGTGTGGTGTTCCTGAATTATTCCTTGTGTTCGAATAAGTGTCGTTGTTGTTTGGGGTTTTTGCCTCTTCAACTACGTCAAAATGAAACACAGTCGATGACGTCCGTGATTTTGGTTTTTTTGAAAAGAACGAATTAAATGACCAAGCTGCCATTTTTTTTAGAAATTTAAAGAAAAAAAATAGATGAATTTTCGAGTGTCGAGGTACAATATTTACTAATAACTTGTATTAATTTCTTTTCAAATTACTGATTAATTATACAGTAAATTCGACTAAAATTACTTGACTAAGTATTTGAGATAAGGTTGTAATGTGCCAACGTATGTTTTTATATACCAAACATTTCAATCAATAAACACAATTAAACATCTAAACAATGAATTAAACAATTAAACTTCTAAACATTAAACAATTAATTAGCAGGACAATGTCTAAGGCTAAAGTCTGATCTGGAGGAATACTTCCTTTACTTATATTAATTATATATATTATATATCTAGTATCTATCTATATCTATTTTAACAAATCTATATAAAATATAATTATATATACAACACTAAACAAAATTAATTAAACATCATTTAATTAATTAATTGATTAATTAAAATTTATGTAAAGATAAATTAAACCTTAGTAATTGTAAGTTCTTTATTTGATTTTACAGTTTTTAGTAGTTGTATTTATTAAATATAATTCATTATGGATAAAATCTTCAAGTTTAAATTATTTTATATAAATATAATAAATAAATACTAGTAATGTAATATATAAAATTATTGAATAAAGTGTTAACAAAACTTGACAAATGTAATGTAAACAGACTGTGTAGGTAGGTAAGAATGTAAATTAGCAGTTAATTAAGTTAGTTAGTTATTTCATTTCATTATTTCATTATTAGTAGTTAAGTAATAGTAATTAATTTTAAATTAACACCTCTAAAATTTAGAGGTGTTAATTTAGTTAGAGTCTAAATTAATTTAGTATTAACTATTAAAGTACTTGTTTTTTAATTTCTAAACTTACTTTTCTGCTGATTTAAAATTTTTAAAAACTAAATTAATTAAAAACTACATACTTTTATTTTAAAATGTTAACATTTTAACTATTAACCTTAGATTAGACTTTTAAAGTTTTATTAGGCAGTTGAGACAAAAAAAATTCACCAAATTATCAAATCAAAATCAACACACAAACCTCATTAAAAATGTAAAATCACCACTCTTATTAAAATTACACAATTATAGAAAAAAAATTAACGATTAACATTAATCTTATTTAGAATTAATTAAATTAATTATATAAAATGAAAATATTTTATCCAGAAAAGAGAAAATTAACCAACATCCTATCTGACTGATTAGTACCAAAGCATTGCTGTGTAATTAAATGTTGGTAAACAGATTTCAACTGTTTAAAAGTGGATTCACCTCACGATTTCATTTTTATTATTATTTTATTATTATTATTTTTCTATTATTATTATTATTGTTCATTAGTATTATTATTAATTATAATTTTTTTATTGTTATCATTTTATTATTATTTTGTTGTTATTATTTTATTATAATTATTATTGTAACGACAAGAATTTGGTTGGGAATATTGAGAAATGTTATAAAGCACTAGAAATTTGGTGGATTTCAAATAAATATATATCTATGTGTGTGTGTGTGTGTGTGTGTGTGTGTGTGTGTGTGTGTGTGTGTGTGCCTGTGTGCCTGTGTGTGCCTGTGTGTGAGTGTGTGTGTTAATGTGTGGTGTGTGTATGTGTTGTGTGTATACAGAATAGTTATATAATGATGACAACCACAATTATTAAAATTAATTAATAAAATCGTGAGGTGAATCCACTTAACAATAGCATTAAAAATATAAATAATAATAATAAGCTTTATTAATTAGTTATTTATTAATAAGTAATTAATAAGTAATGAAGATAACAGAAAAAATAATAATGACAGAATGGGAGTAACTTATACGTGGAAGTACTTGAGTTTTCTTCTTATCTCTGTAATCGTTTTTCTTCTGTTGTTCTCAATAATTCTACTTCTAACTCCTCTACTCTTACTTTCGGGGTACCTCAGGGTTCTATCCTTGGCCCTCTTCTATTTATACTCTATACTTCTGAACTACCTCGTATTATTAATAACTTTTCTTTCTCTAGTCAACTATATGCTGATGATTCTTATATTTATACTTCTTTTCCTCCATCTAATCTCAATAGTGTTCTTCATAATTTATCTCTATGTCTTTCTTCGATTATCGCTTGGCCTGATTCTATGTGTCTTAAACTTAATCCTTCTAAGTTTGAATTAATTTGTTTTAGTAAATCTAAACACTCAATTACTATTCCTCCTATTATCTTACCTGATTCTAAAACTCTTGATGTCTCTCATAAGTTTCGTAGTCTAGGTTTTATCTTTGATTCTACTATGTCTCTCTCTTCTCAGATTAATAGTGTTGCTAGAAGCTCTTACTTTCATCTACGTAGAATAAAAAAACTTTTGCCTTTTCTTGATGATCCTACTCTTCTCCTTCTTGTTACTTCGTTAGTCTTATCTAGGATTGATTATTGTAACTCGCTCTACTATGGTCTTCCTGACTCTATACTCTATCCTTTAGGTAAAGCTTTTAACTCTGCTGCTCGTCTAGTTGCTCGTGCCCCTTTCTTTTCTCATATATCTCCATATCTTGTTCTCTTGCACTGGCTACCTATAAAATATAGAATAATTTTTAAAATTTGCACGTTCATGTATAAGTTTCAATCTAAATTATTTCCTAAGTATTTATCAGATATATTAATTGAACCTAAACGCCCCGGTCTACGATCGTCTTCTTCTTCTCGCTTTTTCTTAACTCGTGTTAAACACTCTTTTGCCAAATCTGCTTTTGCTTTTTCTGGTCCTTTTCTCTGGAACACTCTACCTACTTCTCTAACTACTTCTCCATCACTTGCGAAGTTCAGAGCGGATCTCAAGACCCATCTGTTTTCAAAATTCATTGAGGAGCGCTGTTGAACATCGCGGAAATAGCGCTTTATAAGCTAATTGATTGATTGATTGATTGATTGATTGGATAGTAACGACGACGATGATCAGTAGAGGAGTGATTTGTCATCTGAATAAATAACCCGTGTGTTTGTGTCTGTGTGTGTGTCTGTGTGTATGTATGTATGTGTGTGTTGTGTGTTTGTGCTGCTATAAATCATTTGAATGCCATTCGAATAATTTTACATCCATCCATTCTCCATCCATCCATTTCGGAAGCTTAGAAAATTATCCTGTTAATTAACTCGACTCTGCGTGTGTGTGTGTGTGTGGTGTGTGTGTGCGTGTGTGTGCGTATGTGTGTATTTATGTTTTAATGCGGTTATCACTAACCGTACCTTGAAATGTTGCTATATCATTAACCATTTAGACTGCTGTGCATGTGCAGACTTTAAAACCATCAAAAGTAGTTAAAAATTACCGTTTTGTCGTATGATGAATTATCAATATTTTATTTAATATAATTTATTTTATTTTTAATTTAAAATTTAACTAATCTAATTAACTTAATTTTTAATTTAATTTTATCTTTATTATTTTAATATTCTATTCAGAATTCAGTATTACCCACAAGCCTATAAGGATTGTCAATGAAAAAAGGATTTTAATTACCCATAAACTGATTTTATTTCTGTTTAAAATTACGATATGTACAATAGATTTCAATGTTTTTATTTACGATTTTTTCTATTTTTATTAGTTACGTAAACGGCGTAGAAGGGATGAAAAGACAGGCAGTATACCTACTAGCCCCGGTATGTTTCATGTACTATTACAGTTAAAACAATCAGAGTTATAAAATACACCAGACAAGCATCTACAAATTATTCGCCAATCACCACATTTCATCCAAGAACTTCTTCTACCATCTCCACCACCATCAGCGTAATCTTCGTCTCGAAATCTCTTAATAAATGCAAAAGTCTGTTCAGCTAGACACGTCTGACGTTGTAGAGAAGACGGAATCCATCTTACGTTCCGGATTTGTCCATACCGACTGTTCTGGAGACTGCTTTACCTCTTCAGAGAGGACGGAATCGATCCTTTTTCCCGGATTTGTCCATTCTGATGGTCCTGGAGACTGCTTGGCCGACTCGTTCAACATCCCATTCAGCACCGGTGGAAAAGTTGCGCCAGCGCCGGAGTTTTTATCTGCTGCTTTCTTTCCTAGGGCGAAGAAAGGGTTAGTTTTTATAAGGGACTACTGAGGAATTTTTCGATACAATTTTTTTATTCATATCACCATCAGCATCATTGTCACCATCGTCATCATCAGCACCACCATCATCATCATCATCGCTACCATAACTATCAGCATCATCGCCACCATAACTATAATCATCATCATCGCCACCGTCATCATTGTCATCACAATTACCACCTGGTGTATAAACACACGTAAATCAGCAAATCACACACAATTTGCACGTAATGGCAAGGAATCTCTTTGCAGTCGAACCAGGACACTGCATGATCAGTGCAAGGCACCTTAACCATTACACCATTGTGCCGCCCACTTACTGGTGATGTAAATCCATGCGGCCAAAGTGGCCAATATTGGTATGATTAAGACGGCGTATATCGGCGACGAGTTAGAGAGCTGCTCTGTGGCTGCCACCATAGTTTCTGTTGGTTAATTAACTAACTAATTAGTTAATTAGTTAATTAATTAATTTTTAAATGATGTAATAATATCATTGCTGTGTGTTGATATTATTGTTAGCTAGTCAGACAGTCAACAGACCGGCCGACTAACCAGATAACAATCCAACTAACCAACTAACCATCCGACCAACCAATCAGCCAACCAATTAATCAATCAACTAATCAATCAACCAACCAACCAGCCAACAAAGAAACCAAAAAACCAACCAAGCAATAAGCTAGCCAACCAACCAACCATCTAGCCAACCAACCAATCAATCAACCAACAAACCAGCCAAACAAGCCAAACAACCAACCAACCAACCAACCAACACTCCCAACTGACCAGTAATTACAATATTCTCAGTTACAGACGCCGATGTAATCTCACCTCCAATATGGTTGATAGCCGTACAGCTTACCACATAATAGCCTTTCGAGAAAAAGACTATTGATTCGTCGGTGGTCTGAAAAATTTCACTTTTAACCATTTCACCCCTTACATTTTTCACTTCCCAAAGCCATCTGTTTGCAGGCGGATAGCCAACACTCAGGCAAGTTATTCTTTGCTTTACTTTGGCCTTTAGACTGTCGAAAGCGGCGTATTTTAGACTGACTAGGGAAAGAAATTGTTTTTGATGATAGTGATGACGGGGACAAAGTTATGATGACGATAACGTTTGTGTTGGTGGTGATGATAATGATGATGAAGAAGATAATGATGATTGTGGTGAAGATGATAATGACTATGGTGATCATGGTGATGATATTAGAATAAGTAGTTGTCGAAAAGTAACATTTTGCAATTTAAAACTGTTGAACGGGTTTTTTTAAAACATTTGAAAATGAAATTTGGTGAAAAAAAATATTTACACATTCCAAAAGGGATAGTGTCAGTGGCGGATCCGGAATTTTACGATGGGTTTGACGTTCAAAATTCCAAAGGGATGGACACTACTTTGTGCTAATTTCCGTTTCCGCCCAGTATTTCACTTTTTTAGCTAATCTCCGTTAAGGTAAAAGAGATACAATTTTTAAAATGTTAAGTTTATGACTTTTTTAACATTTAATTTATAATATTTTTTCTGTCATGGTCTTGTGTTGGAGATGAATTCTCACATTCCCACTTGGATCCGCCACAATTCTTTTTTTAATTTTTCAAAAATGATTAGACAAAAAATAAAAATGATACAGGACGAAATTTCCACTTCAATTCTTGTAAAAACCAAAATGGTTTTACAAAAATGTAACAAAACGATGCACTGACAGTAATTTTTCATTTTGATTTTGTAGACAGTCAGGTTATATTCCGTGTCGTCAAAATATGCAGCTAGTAGAATGTTCAGTGATCGATTGACGTCTGGGGTGTCAGTGAAGGTTCTTGGACCACTGATATCATATTTCTGAAAAGAAATTAATTTTATTTCTTAATTCCGCCTTTTTTCCCTTTAAACTATTGGTTTCTTTTTATGCAGTTACTGTTCTGTTATGGTAAGTTATAAAGACCACTGACGAAATATTTTTCATTTGTAATTCATTTTGGAAAAGAAAAATTTGCCTATTTAATAAAACAAAAACAAATTTTGGGGAACCTAATAATGAAGTAGGATATATTTATATATATTTATTCATTGTATAAAAGCCGCCCAAAATTTTCAACACACACAACACACACACAGTTGAGTTTACAGGATAATTTTCCAAGTTTCCAAAAATAGACAACAATAAAAAATCACAGAACGATTATTTACCAGTAGCAGAAAGCCATTTATAACTTTTGTTACACCGTTTATGAAGAAGCTATTTGGTGCCTCTATTAGCCTGAAATAGAGAATCAACTTTTGGCCGGTTTCTAGCGGGTAGACGACCACACTGACGGTTAGGTCAGTCGAGTTTGAACTCAGATGTGGAGCCTCGATTATTGTCAAATTTTCTGTGTGTGATTGTTTTTAGAATAAAGATGGTTTTTTCCAAATTTTATAGGTTTAATTAGGATTAAATTGGGTGAATTGAATTAAAATTATAGGAGGCGTTTGTGAAGAGGGGGTGGTTGTTGGGGACTGCCGCCTACTTGCCCCTTCTTTTGTTAGTTTTAGAGTAAAGCAATTAAATAATAAACTAGTTCTTACTTGAATTGATAACGATTATATCATGCAGCGCATGATGGTCGGTGATGGTGCAATTCATAAGTTTCGGGCTAATTTTTAGAGTTTGAAGATAATCGACGAGAAATTGTTCAACTTTTTTGCCTAAATGGAAACATCCTCCAGCAAATTCATCTATTTCAGTACAGTCTTCATGACACCCTTTAAGATAAACGTCTGAAAATAAGTTACCTAGACAAATAAATTGGCCGGCGCGATGGTGTAATGGCTAAGACGCCTGGCATCGCTGCTACTCTGGCTGGGTTTGAATGCATGGTGATTCTAGGCATGTGGCATGCAGTGCGTGTGAGGTGTTGATTCATGTTTGTTTGTGGTTGTAAATAAAATAAGAGTAAAAGCGTCATATTTTGTGCGGTAATCTAGCTCTGCGCGTGTGTACGTAATGTGTACGTGTTGAGGTGTATGTACGTTGTGTGGTGTAGATTTGTTGTGGTACGATGGTTTAACTATAAATATCGAACGACAAGTGATCAGTTCAGCGTATTTTACAACAGCATTATAAAGAACCAAATGAAGTTGGTAGGTTTCGCTGATTTGTGAAGAAATCATTAAAAAAGCGCTTACATGATTCCAAAAATGCTTCTGTATATCTGATGAATAATAATAATAATAATAATAATAGTGCATATAATCTAGTAACTTTCATTGTCGTCACCATCATCATCATTGTATTCCACCACCATCGCCATCGTCCTCATTATGTTTCATTTTCGGTTTTGCCGGTGTTTACATATTAGTTATTTTATTGTTTATAAACTCTCTTACGTAAACTATTAGTCTGTCAACAATCCAAAAACAAAAATAAAATGTAATAAAATTATATCAACTTTGTAATTTTTTTTGGTTTCAATGTATTTTTATTATTTTATTTTAATACTACCACAAGTGCAACTACTGCTGCTACTACTACTGCGGCTGCTGCTACTACTACTACTACTAATTGTACTATAAGTACTTAACGAATACTTTTTCTACTGGTAACTACTAGGTTAAGATATATTTTTTCGCAAACCTGAATCATTTTTACTAGGAATTTGTCAATTTTTTTCACATTAAATGCTAATTCTAATTTCGGTTTATTCAAAAAAATCACATTTTTGTAAAAAATTTTGCTAAACATTTATTTGGTCAAACGGATGACGAAATATTTGAAATAATTTAAATATTCATAGATACAGTGTCAGATCTAGACAACGTTGACCGAAAGAGCCAAAATATTAAATAAGACTGGGGGACAATCAGAATCTTTCAAATTGTTACTGGTTTGGCCAAAAAATTAGACAACCTAAAAACTGTGTTGTACTAAATTTTGATAATAAATACCTCCCCCAAAATAAAATATCCGCCACTGTATAGATACTACAAAATTAGATGTATTAATACGGTAAGTAGACATTCAAAATCATTTCATAAAAAATGTTTCAAGCATTTATTTATAAGAATGAAATAACTAGGCTATATCTGAAGATTTAGGTATAGATACGTATATAAAAGAAACAGTCAAATGATGTTATAGCTGCTTGTCGTCACTGACAGACTCGTCACTTTCAGCAAATTTTGAAATCATTTTGTAGCAATCCTCGAGTCTGGTCACCACCGAATACATCAGGTTAATCCATTGTGGTGGGTTTTTATCGTCGTAGAAATGTCTCATGTACAAGAACACAGACATACAAATGGTAACAACGACACCTACAATGAAGCAGAGGTGCATTCCTAATTTCCTACATCTATTGCTCCTCCGGTTCGGACGAGGGTTATGGAAAGCGTCACCATTTGGCAGGTTCATTTGTACCATTTCATCTAGAAATCTTCTCGCTTCGTCATTTAAGGGGTGTTGTATAATAACATTAATATGGCCCTCTTCCGGCCTATCTAAGTTTCTTGGATCTGGCACTATTACAATCTCCCTTTGGCGCATTTGCCTTCTTAGTTCTAACACTTCCTCAGGTAGGTTTTCATCTTCCGGATCTCCAGGAGGCCCAGGTTCCATTTCCATTTCCGCTTTTGCTTGGGTTTTTAGTTTTGTTCAAATCTTACGTCACAGGAAGTTGTTGGGTTGAATGAAAGTTCCGACTGTTGATTTCTTGCAAGTCTAAAGTTGATTTCTTTTGAGCTTGAAAATTTGAGTTTTTTGAAGTTGAGTTGGTCAATAGAAGATAAAATGTTCTGTAAATATTTATAATATTGAAAAATATTTGTTTTAAATGAAGTTATTAACAACATTTGGTGATTTATTCGTGAGTATAATTTTTTTCTATTTGTGAAAAACTAAATTAAATTGTTTATTTAAAAAATGGGTTGGGCGGACCCTTGCTTATTGATCAATTTAAAATTAGCAAAATCACTAAAATACATGATTGGATACAATATTTTGAAACATATTCTTTGAACAACTGATTGAAAAGCTGAAAAACACAAGCATTTGAGATTTTAAAATTGCACTTTTCATGTAAAATAAATATTCTTAACTGATGAGTTTTAAATCGATGAACTTGTCTTTTGATATAGAGAACTTACTATATGGGACCAAGCTGTTTACTCCACTTGCTAAAATTTATTTGCAACACAACGATTTAAAACACATTTTTTTTCATTTAAAACGATATTTTTTAATTTAAAAGTTGAAAACTAAAAAATACAACACGCAGAGTTGATCCACGATAAAAATTACACAGCGTTTATCACTGTAGCGAAATGAAAAACTGTTCTCCGTTTATGTGTATGTTTAATATACTGTATTTTTTTAAAAATACTTACAGATACAATATCAAAATTACATATTTAAGCATGGGATTGTGGGATGGTTCCATCTAACTTTTCGAAGTAAAATTTGAAATTACTTCAACGTTAATAAGTATTTAGTATTTACTCTCACGGCTGCTACTACCACCACTACTACTGCTGCTGCTACTACCAGTATTACTGCTACTGCTGCTACGACTACTGCTGCTACTATTACTGCTACTACTAAAGCTACAACTACAGCTTCTGCTACCACTAGTTTTAAAATCACAGCAGCCAGGGTCAGTATAAAAGCCATCGTGAAACCTCGGGTCGGATAAAGTGGCTTTAACTTTTTAAAATATCTGGTAGTGGGATAGTAGTAGGATTTTATTTCACATAGTAAATACGCTTATATGTTGAAAAACTGAGTCCATCAATTTTTTTTACTAGTTTACATTAATTTGTATAGATATATTTTGAGGTTTCATTTGGAAGGCCCGTTAAATTTGATGATTTGAACAAAATTGTAAATTTGCCAAGTGGTGTAGTAATAATACTGTTAATGATTACTCTTACCGTTGTATTGAAGTTTTTATAGATAGAGATAGAATAATCTGACAAAAATATCATATTTATTGAATTTTCTGCGAGCATCTAATCATTCAGACTTAATTGGATAGCTATATAAAACATAATAAAAGTTGGCTAAAATTTATTTTTAACAATTTTTTAAAAACACTAATCAAAATCTTCATAAAAACTGTTCATAAGAAAATGTCATTTATTAAATCACATAATAGAAGCAGGAATCAGTAAGATGATCATTACTCAAGTTGTATTTTCACTTTTCAATATATTTAAAACAGTCAAAAGGCTTAAATGGTTCGCTGTAATGTTGGCTGGGCACAGGCTGGCGGATGTTTAGGATCATAGTCCCGTTCAGACAAATGTAGCACAATGACGTAAAAAATGACTGAGAACGTAAACACCAAAATCCCGAAAAATAATAAGAAACAGTTTGTAATTTCCTTCCAACATCTACAACAGTAAGAACGGATATCTTCATCGCCGTATTCTTCTTCTTCTACAGTCGATAAGCAATCGTCATTAAGTCTTTTTTTCTCTGAACTTGCATCTATCGGAGATGTGGGAGGTGTGGGTTCTAACGGAGTTCCTGGCTCTATCGGATGTCTCGGATCTGTCGGGGATTTTGGCTCAACGGGAGCTTTTGGTTCTATCGAAGCTTGTTGTGCTACTGAGGCTCGTTGTTCTACCAAACCACGTGGCTCTGATGGGATCCCGGGTTCTGTAGAGACTGTAAGCTCAATCGACGTTGTAGTGTCTGGCTCTACCAATGTTTCTGGTTTCATTTTATTTGCAGTTGTCGATAATTTTGAAATTATTGGCAATGGGGTCTTAACATGTGATGAATCAACCCTTTTTCTGTCAGTTTGTTTTTTTGATGGAACCCACGATATGTCAGCATCATCAATTTTACATTTCAACTTTTGCTCCTCCAACACTTCCACTTCCTCGTAATGTTCATCGTCTTTGTCGCACTGATCGTTGTCGTCTCTGATTCCATTTACTTTAATTGTAGCTCCTGAAGTTGTAGTAAATGTAGTTGCTGCGGTTGCTACAGCGCACATATTGTCGTCGGTCGTCGAAGATGACGGAGAAAAATCCTTTTTATCCCCCATCTTGTTTTCTTTCTAGATTATTATGTTTATTAATTAGAAATTTGTTTAGTTAATAAACTCTATTGACGCAGTTAATTTATGATGTCAAACATTTCAATGCAAATAACTAAAAATTTTAACAAAATTTTAACAAAATTTTTCGACTGAATTGGATGCTAAATTAGAAAATTTTTCATTTACATTCTATTACTACTTAGTATTTGTGTATTTGTTATTTTATTTGACAAGATGTAAGCGTGTAAAGAAATAATTTTTATAAATTTACCTTGGGATAAATCGTATGAAGAGCCAGAATTTAGTAACCAGAACTTTTTTTTTAAATAGAATTTACTTCTACACGAAATTTTTTAAATGTATTTTTTTATTTAAATAATAAAATCTTTTTTGAATTTAAAAAATTAGCAAACAATATTCAGGAAAGAATCGAAATTGTGTTTTATTATTACTTATTCGTTAAATATACACATGTATGCATACATGCACATAACTTATTCATATGTACTCACACACACACACAAACAAGTATCTAAACAAGGGATAGTTGGATACTGTTCTCAAATGTAAACGTATGTCCGTTGTTATGATTGTTTAATTCATAAACTCACCAAACACTTCATACGCTGTAATACTTTATTATTGAAAATTTTTAAAGCCAGAATTGGAGTTGGAATCTGTCGGAGTCGGAATATTTTTTTTTTTATTCTGGAAAATGTTACAAATATGATTTTTTCAGAATCATGCTTCTTAGAGGGTGTATGACTTACAATCATTTATATACTGATAACAATAAAAACTAAATATAATTTACTAAGAACAACAATTCCATTCAACTTATTTTGAAGTGATTTTTGAAGTATTTTTCATTTAGTAATGGTACATAAGTAAAATTATGATGCAAAAGTTGTAACAATTTTCTGGGAGTTGGAACACAAAAAATTTGTATCCGCTTGTATTCCTACTACTACTCTACTACTACTACCACTACTACATTTGTAACTGCTACTACTACTACTACTACTACTACGCTAGTAAATTTACTTCAACTACTTCTAATAATAGCAGTACTGCTACTACTAGTGCAGCAGCAACTACCAAATCTATTACTACTAATACTTTTACGACTTCCATAATGACAATAACGAAAAATAAAAAATACTAAAATGAAAAAGTAATTAATGAGAATACTTGTGGAAATATATTTTATTATTTCTCAACTCAATAAAACCGTTCATCATATAAAATTTCTGATACTTCAATATGAAGTTTTACTGCAGGGTAATCTATCAGTTAATACATTTTCCAGTGAATGTCTTTTAAGCAAATATTGATACGACTAAATGAATATTGATTAAACACGAATGGCCGTTTAGGGATTCGCCCATAGAATACCTAAACTGTAAACTAGATTACCTACTACAGATTGTCAATCACAGATTTCAAATCCCGGATTACATATTAAGGATCACAGGTTACAAATTACCGTATACAAATCACGGATTACATATTACAAATCCCAGACCGCCAATTACGGATTACGTTGACGTAACTTGTAAAGGACATAAAACGAGCAGAAGCCACCCAAGGCCAAAATGACCATGGCCAACCCAATGGCGATCCTAAAATATTTTTTATCCCATCGCCGAATAGTAAAATGACGTGGCTGTTGTCGGAAAAAAAGTCCTGTTGGCACTTCCTGGGCTCCCACATCCGCATTTATCCGTCTTTCTGGTCTTGTCTCTGCCGGAAATTCTTCTGCCTCTTCACCTATCTCTATGGATCCACACCAACTACTACTTTCACTTCCATCTTGACTTCTATACCCCAACAGAGCCGTTTTTTCTGTTGCGCTATTTCCATCAAGATTCCACCATCTGCCTCGACAAATATATTTGGGATTTGAGAACAAACTGGTAGTGGCGGTCGTAGTAGCAGTAGTAGTAGCAGCCTCAGCAGCGTTAGCAGTAATGATATTATTATTTGTAGTAGTGGTAGTAGCGATGGTGGATGCAGTAGTACTAGTAGCCGCGGTTACGAAGACGTCGGTAAATTGGGGAGGATTTTTTTTAACGGGGTTGTCATCTTCTAATTCTAAGTTTTCTACTTTAGAACCCCCCGTTGGAGTAGGTGGCTTGTTTCGGGCTTCCATTCTTTTTGACTGGTCAGATGAAAATTCTACTGTGAAATGGTCAATAAGTTTTAAATTGATACGCAAATAACAATTGTAAAACAAATTGACTGGAGATGTTTGCATAATTGAAAAACGATTTAATTGAAAAATTCTTTATTTACTAATTGAGATTTTGAATTTGAAATGAATGAATATTATTTTACATTTATGGTATGTGTTAAATTTTCTAAAAATAAGAAATTCTTGTTAAAAATTTGAGTAAATTTTATAAACACAACGTACAAATTTATTTGGTATTAAATTATTCCGTAAATTAAATGAATATGTAATTTATGTTTTAATAAAAATATTAGCTAAAATTATTTATAAAAGCAATTTTCATATGAAAAAAGAACCTTTTGTTGCACAAAAAATGGGTTAACCAGATTTTTATAACCTAATCAACCGCGTACACACAGAGAAATTCAACGAATTTAATAAAAAATGTAAACTTTTTTGATTAAAACAAAATAAAATACATTTATTTTAGAGTAAAATGATCAAATTTATGCTTATTGAAAATATTTCAAAATTATTACGACAAGGTAAAAGCAGCACGATTTTTTTTCATAAAAACATTAGTTTGCAATAAAAAAAATTTTGTCGGACCTACACACACACAAATTGATTTCACACACTCATAACTCTCTCTCTCTCTCTCTCTCTCTCATTCTCTCACAGACACACACACAAACACACACAGACACACACACTTATTCATGTATACTATGCGTTATTTATGATAAGAAATTTATGTAATTTATTTTTAGTAATTCAAGTAAGCCACTACTGATTGGGTTTTTCATTACAAAATTTTACAAAACAATCCAGCGAAAATTATTACTACTTAGCAAACGAATCATTTTCAGTATTGGAATTGAACTATAGCACTCGAATTTTAACTTGGCACTGACCTGAAAGCGACTTTGCATTAGACCATATGATGGTAATATTATAATATACTGCTGCTACTACTTATACTACTATTACTACTACTACTACCACCACTACTACTACCACCACCACCACCACCACTACTACTACTACTACTACTACTACCATTACTACTACTACCACCACCAATACTACTACTACTACTACTACCGTTACTACTACTACCTACTACTACTACTACTACTACTACTACCTACTACTACTACTACTAAAATTCTAAACTCAGGACACGAATGGCCGATTTGTAGATTTGAAAGCCTATAGATGAATTGTCCGGATCCAGTGCTTCCGATAAGGTCACTCCGTTGTTTATAATCCCACCATTCGATCCCAAGAAGGCATCCGTCACGTCTCAAGCGCCAGGGACATCAGTCGAAGAGGGAAGCTCCGCTTGACAACGATCCAGAATTTGGAGAATGTGTCGCTCGCAAAAGCGCCTGTCAGGTCTCTGGTATTAACCTGATTGTAGACATGTTCATCTACATCGTTCACCTAGTTTTCAGAGGATTTCTTAACAATCAGTAATACTGCCATTAATACAATATTCAAAAAATTATAATTATATTTTATTGAATTGTATTGTATTATATTATATTATAATATATTATATATTTATTTGTTTATATAATATTATATGGCAACAGAAATAACCGCTACTGAATTTTTAAATAATTTGGGAATGGTAACAGCAAGTTATTTTTAGTTCTAAACACTCTCACACACACCACATGCACACACACATACACATATATTCACACACACACACACACACACACACCACACACGCACACGCACACACAAAACTACACAGGTTCACTTAGACAAAAGCAAAAGTTATTTAGTAATGGGATTATGTATTTTATTGATACTATAACAATCAATAATAATCATGGTTCAAAGAAATACTATTATTTTACTACTACAGTGTAATAGTATTATTACTATGGTTTGTTATTTAAAATCATTTGTTTTTAGGTGATATTGTGATTAAAAGCATTAAAAAGCAGATAGATAAATATATTTCATTAATATTTATAGTAATTTATTAGTATTAATTTTATTATTATAATTATTAGTAGTATTAGTAGTAATGGTAGTAGTAGTAGCAGCAGCAGCAGTAGTAGTAGTAATAGTAATAGTAGCATTAGTAGTAGTAGTAGTAGCAGTAGTAGTAGTAGTAGCAGTAAGTAGTAGTAGTAGCAGTAAGTAGCAGTAGTAGTAGTAGTAGCAGTAAGTGGTAGTAGTAGTAGTAGTAGAAGTTGTAGTAGTTGCAGAAGCAGAAGTAGTTGTAGCTGAAGAAGTAGTAGAAGCAGTAGCACTAGCAGTAATAGTTGTAGAAGTAGCAGCTATAATATTAGTAGCAGCAAATGCAGCAGCTTCAGTAGCAGCAGTAGTAAATGTAGTAGCAATCACATTCTCCAGGTCTTTTCAGCGTGAAATGGATTCAAGTTAACAACGTTCACTTTTCGTCCGGTTGATAATTTTGTGCTCAGGCTTTCGTATCTATTTCTATTGTAGAATATGTTGCGTGGGTTGATGTAATTGTTGTTGCTGGATGATTTGTTGTTGTTGTTAACGTTGTTGTTGTTACTGTTGTTAGTGTTGTTGTTATTGTTGTTACTGTCGTTAAAGTTGTTGTTGTTGTTGGTGGTGGTTTTGCTGGTGTTTTTGGTGACGTCAAAAGAGGTTTTGTGGTTTTTGGTGTTTTTTAGGTAATTAGCAGTTTTGTAATTACTGCCATCGTCACTTGTTTCTATGACTTTTTCGGTAGTTTGCATGTTAGCATTACCATCATCATAAAGGCAGTCGGTGCTATTGTTGTGAATGTGGCTGTTGTTAATGTCATCAAACATGTCAACGAGGTTGTTATTGTTGTCAAACATGTTGTTGTCAATGAGGTTGTTGTTATTGTTGTCAAACATGTTGTTGTCAACGAGGTTGTTGTTATTGTTGTCACCAAACATGTTGTTGTCAACGAGGTTGTTGTTGTTATTGTTGTCACCAGACATGTTGCTGTCAATGAGGTTGTTGTTGTTGCTGTTGGCATCAAACATGTTGTTGTCAACGAAGTTGTTGTTGTTGTTGTTGTCATTAATGTCTTTGCAAATATCGTCACATTCCTCATCGTTATCGTCGTCGTTTTTGTTACCACTGAGATAATCTTGTTTATAACTAGAGGTTGTATCTTTGTTGGTGACATCATTATTATTATTATTGTTGTTGTTGTTGTTGTTGTTGTTGTTGATGCCACTGATGTGATCCAACGTGACCAGAGATGGTCTACCTCTGACTTTTGTATACTTAAGCGGAGGAACACTCTTTACGGTTGCCATTTTGTTGATGTCATTTTTGTTGTTGTTATTTTCAATGCTGATGTCGTTGCTGTTGTTGATTGCGACGTGATTGTTGCTACTGACTGTGATCTCGTTGTTGCTGTTAGCATTGTTGATGTCACTTTCGTCGGAGTTTTCATGTCTTGCTGCTGATGTTGATGTCATGATGGAATTCAGTGGCTGTATGGATACTGCTTCCAAAGTTGACGTCATTATGGTCGATGTTTCAATTGTAGGTTTTGTTGCCGTTTCATCTTGTTGTAATTTGTCTGCTCTTGTTGATGTCATTTTGTTGTTGATGTTACTACTACTACTAGCGGCTACTGCTTTTTTCATTCTGGAGCAAATTTGGAAATTTTCGCGGATTCTCGGCGAGATTTTGACGCCCAATCTTTTAAGAAAAGCAAACTTCTCATCAACGCTCAGATAATTGCTATCATCATTTTTGCTGCTCTTGTTGTCAACATTGTTGCTGTTGTTGTTGCCAACATTGCTGCTTTTGCTGTTGCCAACATTGCTGCTCTTGTTGTTGTCAACATTGCTGCTGCTGTTGTTGTTGTTGTTGTAATTGACGTTTTTGTTGATTTTGATGACGTCATTTTCATATTTAGCCATGTTTTGAATGTTTTTGGTTATACCTTTCTATCTTAACTTAGTTTGGCGCTTAAGCTAACTCTTATTGTCGTTATTATGATTAATGTTATTACATACAATGATAATAATAATAATAATAAAGATAATAATAATAATAATTTAATAATAATAATAATAATATTTCTTATTAGTATTGTTGTTGTCGTGTTGTTGTTGCCATTGTTAATGTTATTCTAAATTTGGTAATAGTTTTGAATGATTCATTCTCAATGAACCCTCATAAACTGGTGAATTATTTAACATTACACATTGGCTGCTACAAATTTTTGTTATTACATTCTGTTAAATTACAAAAAATTATTCAAACAGAGAATTTTTAAAGGTTAAATTTTCAAAAATTTTTTAACTTTTCTAAATTAAAAATATTAAATACACAATTACCTATCCTTCCAAAGTTAAATATAAATGTGACTTTGTGTATTTGTGTCTGTGTGTGTGTGGTGTGTGTGTGTGTGTGACTTGCGATATAAACATACATACACGTTTAGAAGGTTTAAATTAATGAAATAAACGAAATTTTTGTCATTAGTTTGCTGACTGGCTGGCCGAAACTTGAAAATTTTTGGAATTTTTTTAAGTTTTTAGTAATAAAACCTATTTCAAATTCATTAAACTCGATATCTTGTTTAAGAAAAATTTAATTTTGAACCTGCAACTAGAATTAAAAAGTTAGTTTCATAAGACGTTTGTTTGTGTTTTAAAATGTTACTATTTTTGTAAGATTTTATTAAATTTTTTTTTTTAAAAAATTGATTATTTAATTAGTAACTTTTGAAAAATTAAAAATTGTACTATTTTAATATAACTAAATTATGTATAGCTAATTTAGCTAAATTGTCTAATATTTACTAAATGGTTATTAATAATTTATAACATTTTCGTGGCATAATATTTAATTTATTTCTTCAAATACTGCAAAACTTGATCGTTAACCAAGTGAAAAATTGAGATACGATATCAACAATTTTTCTATAATTTGAGTTTTGTCTGTGTAAGAAATTGAAATATAAACGAGACGAAACTGGAATTTTTTAGGGGGGAGGGCCATTTATTTGGGGGTACAGTTTTTTGGGGGTGCAATTTGTTTGGGGAGGTGCTCTTTGTTTGGGGGCTGTGCTCTTTTGCAGAGAAGTTTCGAAAAATTTAATAAGTCTTTTTCCTTTGCCATTCACACAAACTTTCCATCTCTCAAGTGTAAAAATTCGTACTATTATTAAAATTTCTTACTTGATTAAAAAAATGTTAGGAAAAGTCGGGATGGTGCGAATAAACCCCTACCTTCCCTGGCTAGGCTAGTAAATGAAAATACCAACAATTTTATTTACAGGACCTCCACATCGTCAAAGTATGACCGCAAGGGACATAGCAGTCAGATTTGAGAAAAAAGAGAGCGGTGAGGAAAATGTCTCATTCGTATCTTCAACTACAAACGCCGCTGCAGCGTCCACTCCTCCTTCTGTAGCTCGACCCTCTTTTCTCCCGGTAGCAGAACCCTTTGTGACTGAGTCTTCTGTGGATGAGTCCCCTGTGGCAGCTCCCCCTTCGTCTCCTGTAGTCCGTCGCCCATCTCCTACCAGCGACTCTTCTGACGGTGCCGACTTTGACAATGAGCCATACATAGAATGGCTGCAACACAGACAGTATTACGACTGTGGTGTTGTGACTTCAACAACAGCAGTCCGAAGGACACCACCATCACCAACACCACCCTCATCACCAGCCAGACGTCTGGAAGACCATAAAAGGGCCCTCTTCAGCTCCCAAATGACTCAAAGAAGTAGAAGCCGCCAGGCCCATTTTGGTTTCGATACGTCGTTTCACAATTTAGAAGCCTTCTTAAGGGAGATAGTCAGCGCTAACAAAAATTTCATAATATTTTTAATCGTTTTATTCTTAGGTGTCGCTATTTTTTTGTATTTCTCAGGTAACTAATCAGCATTCTAATGACAATATGGCAATAAGGAAGGTAGTGTAGTTATTAGGAACTGAACTGTGTTCATGGCAGATATTTCATACAAACATTCGTTTTTATTATTCAATTTAATCACAAAAATTTTATATAAATATTTTAAATAAACCTGTATATGTAAATAATTTAAAATTTAACTGTGGTTTGTTGTCGCTTTGTTGCTTGGTTTCGATGTTTTACAGATGTTTACTAGCAGATCGTATGGATAGTTTCTAAGTTTTTAACATTCATTAGCCATTGCTTTATATAAAATGACTTTGTTTTTATTATGAAATAAACATTTGATTAACTTTTAGAAAAATTTTAATCACGCAAAATAAATTTATATTGCAATGTACATATTCGTAAGAATGAGCTGTTTACTTCAGAACTTTTTAAAATGACATTTCATCCGTATTTCATTGTAACATCTTATAACATTTTTTTCATATTTTGATTCGATTTAAGATTCCATTGTTAACTGTATTATAGGGCATTTTAACAAGTATTTATCAAAATTATGAAATTTTTTCATGTGCATGTCGAAAGAGAGAAAAAAATTATTCAACACTTTCAACGAGTTTGATCATTGTAGTTCATCTAGCAACACCAGCAATAGTGAAATTATCGTAGAATAAAATCTCACCAGAATTAACATAGCCGGGTTTGATAAATAGTAACTGTACCACAATATATCAAAATATTCATGCCAAAACTTCTAAAAAATTGTGTGAATAGTAAACAAAATTAAATTCAAAGTTTATTTCCCACTCAGTTTGAAAGGGTTCGTAAATTTTGAGTCCCATGCCAAACGATCCGATCCTCTAAGCATTCTTCTTCTAGTGTCTTAATGAACAGAAACCACATTACTAGAATTATATTAGCGTAGTTAGTAGCTAGTAGTAAATGTGTTAGTAGTAGCGGCTATTGTAGTAGTAGCAGTGGTTGTAGTAGCTGTGGTTGTAGTAGCAGTGGTTGTAGTAGCTGTGGTTGTAGTAGCTGTGGTTGTAGTAGCTGTGGTTGTAGTGGCCGCAGTAGTCGTGATTGTAGAAGCTATTTCGGGTAAATAACTGCTGTTAAAGACATAAAATCATTGACAGAAACCGTATTCCAAAGTGTTATTATGTGTCGATTTTTTAATTTTCATTCAACCAAATTGAAATAATAAAATTGTCTTGCATTGCTACAAAAAAAAACTGGAATTTTTTTTTCATGCTGAAAATAATTTAATGTTTTCCATTTAGACACTAAGAAGCGCCTATCCCATATCATTCAAACAGAAAAAACTATTTTTATATTTGTGAATGGCAAATTTTTCAAGGGTTTTTAAGGAAACAGCCAGCTTGTTTCAAAAAAGTCCAGCCTGCATTTTTGACTTAATTTATTTTATTTTTAGATAAAATTATTTTGTTTCATTTTAAATTTTAATGAAATTTTATTCAAGTTTATAAGTTTTAACGACTCGCGAACGAATGCTAAAACTATTTTGAAGGTATTTTCTGTTTTTATGATAATCTTTTAAGTTTTTTGATTCAATAAAGTTTTACCAAATTACTTTTATTAATCAAAAAACAATTTTATACAAACGTTTTTAAATATTGTAAATTTTCATGTTGAAATCACACCAAAACATAACATTCATACAAAAAGCAAATTGATTATTGAACGAACAAATCCAAACTCTATTGTTTCATTTATGAGCTAATGTTTGACAAAAATTTTACTCCCAGAAAATTGTAAAAAATTTAGCTATTTAAAAAGAACATTTGCCTCTAAATTTTTTGGAACATTTGCTTCTGTATCAGCTCTAACTTTAACGATACCTCTTTTCACGTACGTCTACAATAATTCCTACTATGTCAGCAACAGCCACTACTGCTGTCACCACAGCTTCTACAGCTGTCTTCGACGTTTTGTCCATTTCAACTATTACGACAGCTACGTCTGCTGCAGCAACCAGTGCTGCTACATCTACTACAACACTTACAGTTTCAACAACTGCTACAACTACAACGGCTGCTGCGTCTGTCACAGTCGTTACGTCTACTACAACTGCCACAGCTAATTTTTTAACCGTCGGTACTTTTGCGTCAGCTGCTACTGGGAATCGAAGTAGTGGTTCGGCAGATGAAGACATCGAAAACATGGCCGATTATCTCGATTCAAACTTTGATTCTTCTTTTGAACGTTCTCGAAGAAGTGATGATTCAACGGTCCAGCTGAACCCCGGAAATGTATTTAGAGTCGGCAAAAGTGTGTATAAATATATAGGACCCCAATATAGAGGACCGGTTATCTTAGGACAACAAGATGAAGCAACGAACTACCGTAGTATGGTACTTGGAAGATACCACAGTGATAGAAACCCATATGGAACAGCCGACAGCTGCAGACCGTCAGATAGAGCAGCCGAAAGTTCAAGACCTCAATACAAAGGAGCGATTCACCCCGGACCACCAGCCGAAACAATGTTCCGCAGTGGTACGGACGCATATGGGGCAGCCGAAAGTAGCAGGCCTCCATATAGAGAAGAGGTTTACTGCAGACCGCAAGATGAAGTCGCGGGCTACTCTAGAAGGCCACTTGGAGTGGCCCACAGTGATACAACGCAGTATGGAGCAATCGCCAGTTGCTCTCGATGGTTTCGTAGAATAACAAATAGAAGTCCAGCTCCCGAATCTCACTTTCCAAAACCGCCAGTGATGACAAAACAAGTAGCTCGTTTAGCAGCAGAAGCTCGCAAGCTACAAAAAAAACGCGCTGCCATTGCTGCCAGAAATGCCCCAGTAATTCCTGAGCCTGATAGCAATATAATTTGTGAACCACGCAGAGGCCTGGCTAGTGCGGGTAGATTTGATGACCCCGATCCAATTATTAGAGTGTCAAATGTACCGACCCGTTGGACTCTGGTGAAAAGACATTTGAGAAGGAACAAACTGATTTATATGGGACTCATCATTACGCTTTTAGGAATTAGTTTATTGATGTTGTTTGCTTACATAGCATATAAGTACCATGGTAGCAGGATGACAACAACAACAGCAGCAACAACAACAACTATGATAACAACAGCAGCAACAACAACTATAACAACAGCAGCTAATACAACAACAGCAACAACTAATGTATCATATTTTGGAAAATTTTCCGACAATGTCTAGTTTCTGAATGAATAATATGTGTGGGTCATACATATCCAATTATTTTTACCATGTAATTAATTTTGAGTGCAATTTGTAAATATAGTGAAACGATTTATTTGAAAATAGATTTAAATTTTTATTTATTGAAATGTAAATTAATTTGATTTATTCCACAATCCATTTCTCCAGTGTGTTTTATTTTTGTATATATAAATATACAAACATTAATATATATGTTAATGAATTTTATTGACCGAATTTTAAATTTTTACTATTTAATGATTGAAAAATATTTTAAATTTATTAAAATGTAAATTTAAGATATTTATATATGCCATTTATTTGGTCTAAACCAGTACTGATATGAAATTTTTCATAAATGTTCCATTATATCATAAATAGTTTTATAATAAAAGGTTCTCTTAGCTTAATTTAATTAGATGAATAGTTAAAAATTAATGAATTTATATGAAAAATTGTACATTCGATACTTGGAAATTGAAATAATTTTCTAATGAGAGTAACTGTGTGTACGTGAGTTTATATTATAGTGTATATTTCTAAATGTATGATGAAGCTTGAATGCTCTATTCTAATGTTTATCTAGAATAATGTGATGAATTTTATCTTAAAAAATTTAAAGTATGTACCAAACATTTGATGCGAATTAATAAATGTATGACAATATATATGTGTGTTCATCGTGAGTTTAGTATTTCTTAAGCCA